GACGGGGTTTCACCGTGTTAGCCAGGATGGTCTCGATCTCCTGACCTCGTGATCCGCCCGTCTCGGCCTCCCAAAGTGCTGGGATTACAGGCTTGAGCCCCCGCGCCCGGCCAACCACAAAATATTTTAAATCATTCCCTTTGACTAACATTTAGGTGCCTTGCAATAGTTGCTATAATAAACAATGCTGGGGCCCATCCCTGGTGGCTCACACCTGTAATCCCAATGCTTTGGGAAGCTGAGGTGGGACGATCACTTGAAGCCAAGAGTTCCAGACCAGCCTGGGCAATACAGGAATAAAATAAAATAAGTAAACAACACTGGAATGAACATCCTTCTACATATATCTTTATGAACATGAGCCAATATTTATGATTTATTTTCAGATATGAATTCTGGGTCAAAAGGTGAGACATTTTAAATCTTGATAGATATAACAGTAATATATCCTCACCTACATTGATTATAAATATTTTTAATATTTTTGTTTTTGAGATAGGTTCTTGCTGTCACTCAGGCTGGGCTGGAGTGCAATGGCGCCATCTAGGCTCGCTGCAATCTCCACTCCTGGGCTCAAGCCATCCTCCCACCTCAGCCTCCCAAGTAGCTGGGACTACAGGCAGTGTCACCATGCCTGGCTTTTTTTTTTTGAAATGGAGTTTTGCCACGTTGCCCATGCTGGTCTGGAAGTCATGGCCTGAAGCCATCTGCGCTCCTCAGCCTCCCAAAGTGCTGGGATTACAGGCACGAGGCACCGCCCCCGTCCTTTTTTTTTTTTTAGACACGGAGTCTTGCTCTGTCACCCAGGCTGAAGTGCAGCGGCGCCATCTGGGCTCACTGCAACCTGTCTCCTGGGTTCAAGCGATCCTCCCACCTGTCTTCCGAGTTGCTGGGACTACAGGCACACACCACAATGCCCAGCCAATTTTTGTTTTTTTTGTTTTTTGAGACCGGGTTTCCCTATGTTGCCCAGGCTAGTTTCAAACTCCCAGGCTCTACCTCGTCTTGTACGACAGAGTGAGACCCTGTCTCAAAAAAAAAAAACAAAAAAAAAACAAAAAAAATTTTTTTAAGCCTTTCTGGATTATGTTGAATTTGTAGAAAAAAATGGCAGTCATCTGTACATTGATCCCATCCAATATTTTCCTTATAATTCATATCTTCTTTAGCAAAATGCTTTATTCATACATATCTTGAGTATTCCTGTTAAATGTATACGTGGGTAGTTTACATCTATCACATTTTGATTTGTGTGTGTGTGTATGTGCGCGTGTGTGTGGTGAATAAGGAAACTAATATTAAATAATTTTGCATATTTATCTTGAACTTTATCACCTTACTGAACTGTCCTAGCAGTTTTTCAGTTTCTGGGATGTATTTTCTACGTGGACTATCTTACACTTTGTGAATAACATTCAATCTCTCCATAAGGTAAACTATCTTACATTCAGTCTCTTCCATTCCCAGTACTTTTATCATTTGCTAAGCCCCAGAGAACAATGTTGTAGAACTGTAGTAGTAGCTGACGTTCTTGTTTTAGGCCTTAATGAGAACAGAGGTGATGAATTCTGATATAATGCAAATGATTGCTTTTCACGCTCTGAATTGCATCCTAATTATTTCATCAACTTACAATAACCCATTTTACCCAACTGAAATATTTACCTCACCTATCACATTATGGCAAGATGTTACTGTGCTCCAATGTCTCATCACTGAAAATAATTCTGAAAGTTCTTTGCTTAGCACACATTAAGTTCAGTTTCCTTTACATGGTATCTCTTTTAAAAATCACTTTGAACTGTATCAAACACATCTCCAAGGTACTTTCTTTCAACCTATAATACATCCCTGTATACACAATGTGTTATTTTTAATACACTGCTGGGTTTATTAAATTTTAGTATGGACTTTATATTTGTATGTGAGAATGGTCTCTAGTTTTTCTGGGTTTTTGTTGTTGTTTCTGTGTAGAATTCTCTCCCAAGTTTGAGTAGTGGGGACAGAATAATTTTTTTTTTTTTTCAGAGTCTCACTGCAACGCCCAGGCTGGAGTGCAATGGCACAATCACTGCAACCTCCACTTCCCAGGTTCAAGCAATTCTCCTGTTTCCCAAGTAGCTGAGACTACAGGCGTGCGCCACCATGACCGGCTGATTTTTCTATTTTTAGTAGAGACGAGGTTTCACCATATTGGCCAGGCTGGTCTCAAAACTCCTGATCTCAAGTGATCCACCCACTTTGGCCTCCCAAAGTTCTGGGATTACAGGCGTGAGCCTCCATCCCGGCCAGCAGAGGTAATTTCTTTTATTATTATTTTTTTGAGATGGAGTCTCGCTCTGTCACCCAGGCTGGAGTGCAGTGGCATGATCTCGGCTCACTGCAACCTCCACTTCCCAGGTTCAAGTGATTCTCCTGCCTCAGCCTCCTGAGTAGCTGGGACTACAGGCGAATGCCACCACGCCCAGCTAATTTTTGTATTTTTAGTAAAGATGGGGTTTCGCCATGTTAGCCAGTCTGGTCTCGAACTCCTGATCTCAGGTAATCCACCTGCCTCGGCCTCCCAAAGTGCTGGGATTACAGACGTGAGCCACTGTGCCCGGCCTCAGCAGGGGTACTTTCTGAATCACCTGTTTCATGGTTATTAATCTTTTATCTGCTTCATTTTAGGTAATTAAAATTTTCAAAATATATCTCCAGAAAATCACCCACTTCACTGGAAGCATCACCCTATCAAGTTTTTCTAGAAATGGGATTTTATGAGTGGTTATTTGCATATCCTTATTAGAATAAAAGTCACATTGCCTCTGCAAAAACAAGCACACACAGGCATCCTCTTTGGAAGTTAGATACGAGGAGGAAAGTACTGATGGCTTTCCAGGTCGGCTTCAAAATCACCTGGAAGATGTCACAGCTAGTCTGTCTTCATACCCCCCATTTCTGTGAGGCTAAAAAAGGCTAACTTTTACACCTTACTATCACAGAGTTGTATGTAGTATTCGCTAAAAAAAACAGGCACTCTGGCTATTGTGTTGTGAACAGACTGCAGCAGGGCAAGTGTAGAAGCAGGAATTAGGTTAGTCCAGGTGAGAGCCAGTGATGGCTTTGACTAAGGTGGTAGCAGTGGAAGTGATGAGAACTAAAGACTTTGAAAATATCTTGACAGTAGAGCCAAGAGAATTTACATATGCAATATATACATTTTTTTTTTTTTTTTCCGAGACAGAGTCTTCCTCTTGTCGCCCAGGCTGGAGTGCAATGGCACAATCTCGGCTCACTGCAACCTCCACCTCCCAGGTTCAAGCGATTCTCCTGCCTCAGCCTCCAGAGCAGCTGGGATTACAGGCGCCTGCCACCACACCCGGCTAATTTTTGTATTTTTAGTAGAGACAGGGTTTTGCCACGTTGGCCAGGCTGGTCTCGAACTCCTGACCTAGTGATCCACCCACCTCAGCCTCCCAAAGTGCTGGGATTATAGGTGTGAGCCACCGCGCCTGGCCGCAATGTACTTTCATCAGAAACATTACAGGCACATTCTCAACTAGGTACATCTCTTGATAAGAATCACTGCGCTGGCTTCAAGTTCTATGAAAATAAGGTCCATTTTCTTCCTATCTGTATATGCCCATTACACTCAGTACAATGCTTTACAAATTTGCTGATAATCCATGTGGATGTCTGAAATTCATTATAATAGAATTCTGGTTTCAAA